AAAAAAAAAAAAAACCAATGACACCACACACAAAAAAGAACTTATGTATCAGTCAGCTATTCATTGCTACATACCAAGACATTAGAAGTCATGTTGTTTACATTTCTAGCTTTATAATTTTAATAAAGGATATTCCATGGGAAAAAGAAAAAAGAAAAAGAAAAACAAACAAAAGAGCACGGTACACACCTGTAATACCAACACTTGGTGGACACAGGATGATGGGGGATGAAAGGATAAAAAAAGAAAGGCGAAGTGGGTACCTTTCAGCGGGCTCCGCCACGGTATGCCAGTGAGCAAACACGCCATGTACAGGAGTTAGTGCAACAGGTTCATCGAGGGAGGTGAGGGGGAGAGAAGGAGCAAAAAGCCATGTCTGGGTGGGGACACGAGAGAGGCAGGCAGACAGACAGAGGGACAGGAGAGGAAGAAGCGGAAGAAGAGAGGCAAGAGAGGAGCAAGTGGCAGGGGAGGAATAAAGAGGCCAGGGAGCGAGCTGTGCCGAGCGGGCTTTTCCAAGGGGGGCACATGCCGCACATGTGGCACAGCATGTGTGTGGAAAGGTACCTGGCGACAGGCGATGAGGTCACTTAACTGCTTTGGCAGCGGCCAGCTGCTGCCTCGGTGGAAACTAACAAGGAGGTCGAGGTCATTCTCAACTAAAATACTGTCTTGGGGGGGCGGAATACATAGGGGCCAACAGATGTTTCAGGGGATAAAGTGGTTACCACTAAAGCCTAAAGACCTGAGCTCAATCCGTCAAAGTTGGAAAAGGAGAATGACTACACAAAGTTGACCTTTGACCTCACACACACACATTGTAACGGGGCCCCAGACCTTAGCACAGCTGACTCCATGATGGAAGGGCCATTCAAGCCATAAAACTCAGCACGTAGATGGCACCACGTGCCAAAAATGAAAACAAAGACCTAATCCATCAAAGTCCCTAGTCCTGGGAAAGTCTCTAAATGTACTCACCTTGCTCTTTGGCTTCTGTAGTTCTCCTATTGTTACCTGAAATATGTCAACCCAGAATGTGGTTTTTGTGCTTAAAAGCTCATCCTGATCCAGGCAGTGGTGGCGAATGCCTTTAATCCCAGCAGAGGCGGAGGCAGGTGAATCTTTGGGTTTGAGAGCCAGTGTGGTCTACGGAATGAGTTTTTTTTCCAGGACAGCCAAGGCTACACAGAGAAACCCTGTCTAAAAAAAAACAAAAAACAAAAGAACAAAAACACAACTCACCCTGAGAAAAGCTCATTGCTACAGTGGGATCACCAGTCAGCTAATAAAGACTTTCTATTGGCTTAAACCCATATCTGAGCCATCTTCTCTGGTGAATGCCCCCACCACATTTCTGTAGATCCCACTAAGACCCCAGAAACCAGACCTAAAGACACTGGGGATCTCAAAGCCCCTTGG